ATGTCTATGAAAGTTAATGATAAGGTGGGCTCGTTCCTATGTTTTCACAATGACATAAATAAGAATTTATTGCTACCTAATGTTGTTGGTTTTAGTATACTTAGGAACAATGATGATGTCAACTTTGGAAAGACGCATTCTATGGCCTCTAAAACTAATCATCATCATCATCATCATGAATACCATATTCACCATCTTTGATTTGTTCTAAGCTTTCTAAGTGAGACCAATCTATATGCAAACCCTCATGTCTCATGTCATGTCAACACACTTGCTTGCCAGATTTAATATAAAAATCACATTGCATGTCATAACAAAGCTTCATAATAGAGACAAAATGATATTCATCAACCCATGTCTCTTTTTCAATAACAAACACAATCTTGCTATATATTGGAACAATCAAATTTGGACTCATTTCACATTTATATCATCAACATTCATACAGAACCTACAATAATCAACCTGGTGCTAAATACCTACAAATCTCATGAATATTGTTAGCTCCTTAATCACGTTGTCATTCAATCCACCAAAATCCACTTAGGGCCTAGATGAACTTTCACTTGCTAACTACAGTTAGGAAGTATATATGATACTTGATAATTTGGATGAAGGAGCTAGGGTTGTAGGCATCATAGCATGAGTCAATGTGTCATGGGCTTAGCTAGAAAGGATGGACTTGGCTTGTTTATTTGTTTTGGAGGAAGAAAACTTTAAAATAGCTATAGTAACTTTTGCTAAAAAAGTGGAAAATTGCTTAAAGATCGGAAACGGCAAAAACAACTATAGTTCCATATTTGCAGCTTCCGTTACAATTTTTTTGTTTTTTCAAACATAAGATAAAGCCTTTAAAACAAACTCGGTAAAAACATTATATTTATGTTTTTATCCCTGCATTAGCTTCATTTCTAACAAATCTAAATTATTTCCAATGGAAGCTACAACTCTTATATAGGTGCTTTGCTTCATGATTTTAGATCGACATAGAATGCCTTATCGGTAGGAAAGAGGAAAGACAACATACTCATAACCCAGATCCCATATAACGATTGACCAAAATCTAGGGTCTCAGTTTTAGTAATCGATTTTTTTGTCACCTTCAAAATTACTGAAATTTATAATACCTAATCAAAATTTTATTGGAGACTTCAACAAAAGACATGATTCCCAACAAAGAACTACACATTCATTGAATAAAAGAATATAAAACATAAATAAACAATAAAAAATATGAGTCTAAAGTTAAATATTTATAATAAAATACATCACTATTATACAATATTTTAGTTTTTTTGCCATCCAAAAATTACGAATTCAATAAATTTTAAACGCGTGCAAGAATCTCAAAGATAGCGAAAACCCGTGACGCCAAAAGAATTTCCAAATCGGAAAAAAAAATTCTATGCAACACCGTCAAGCAACAATCATCACGTCGACACCCTCCCCTTGTAGTGTCGCGTGGTCTATAGGTCCCACTAGTCAAGGCGATTTATGTGGTCTCTGAGTCCCACCACCCAAGGCGATCCGTGTGGTCTCTGAGTCCCACTAGCGCTTCCTCGCATGGTTAGGCGATCCGCATGATCTAAAGAAATAGATCGACGGTGTCACGCGACCAGCCAAGGATCCACGTGGTCTGCAAGTCCCACCAGCAGTTTCCTCACGTGGTTAGCTAATCTACGTGATTTGAAGAAATAGATCGACGATGTCACGTGATTACGTGTCACACGATTATGCCATGTCGCATAGAATGCGCCGATTGCGCTGCGTGATGGCGTTGCATACGATTTTTTTCATGGGATGTCAGCTTCTCAAAAAATGGGAACTACTTCCTCACGTGATTAATCATGGCCATAGACCGCCGCGTCGAACAGATCTGCGAACGTAGCGCTGAGGTACACTCCCGCCTATATATGGGCATGCAGCCCGGGCCCGTGAGCCAGGCACGAGGCCCGGTATTTTGGCCCGGCCCAAGCACGGCCCGGCCTGGTGGCCAGCGGGCCTAGGCTGGCATGGCCCGGAGGAGCAGGATGTGCCTGGGTCGCATCCTCGGCACGTGGGACGGCACGACATGGCCCGCTCCCCAACAGTAGGCCCGGTGCCGGCCCACCTCCCCTTCCCGTCTCCCCGCTGCATTTGGCCTAGCCCACCTCCCCTCCCCGCTGCACCCCTCCCCCCATTCCTTATAAAATGCAGGCGCCATGGCTGCCCCCCTCACTCCCCAAACCCTAACTTAGAAATCTCCTCCCCTTCCCCGCCGCGTCGCTCTCTCTCGCTCTAGCTCCGTCGCTCACACTCTCGCTCTCCCTCGTCTTCGACCGTCCCCGTCAACCATCGCCACCGCCTCCGATGACCTCCCCGCCGCTCCCCCACATCACCCTAAGTTCCCTGATCTTCTCCCTTTTCCTTCTCTCTCCTCTGTCCTCTCGGTGACCATGTGAGTTTGTGTCCCCGTCACTCCCTCCGCCGGCACTCGCCGTCCTTGCTAATCCGTTCCCTGTCTCGTTGCCTCTATGTAGCCCTTGTCTTCTCCGGCGTCGGGCTCTGGTTGCACAGGTAAGAGCTAACCCTAACCCTAACCCGTTCATCCTTCTGAGTTCTGACCTTCTCCTTTTTTTGGTCAGTTCCTGATGCCTCGTCCTCTAGCTGCGGCATAGAGTGGGTAAGGCGGCCGCGCACACCATTGAGGAACGGGGCTGGAGAGCCACCGTCCGCGACCGAGGGCCCGATGGCGAATGGCGATGTTCGGTGTTGACGTCGGTAGCGGCCCTGCTCCGATCGATCTAGATGGCGGTGATGCAGGGACGGCGGTGGCCTCCAACACCAACAGCACAGATGGTAATGGTACTCCAACCTCTTCTTCTGTGGGTAAGCGCAATTCTGCTGTCTGGGCTGATTTTGAGGAGATCTATGAGGAGGTGAATGGTAACAAGATTCGAACTACTACTATCTATAGAATGTGTAAGGCTGTTTTGAGTGCTAGATCTGTTGCTGGTACTGGTCATTTGATTAGGCACCAAAATCTTGTAGGAAAAGGTTGATCATGCTTTGCTAGGATTCAGTCTAGGCTTGCTTTTAATCCTGATGGTTCTGTGCATAACTGGAACTATAATCCTACTGTGGCTCGATCTGAGTTGTGCCATTGATTGCTAGGCTTGACCTTCCATTAGGTATAGGTGAGACAGAGGCCTTCGAGGACTATATTGTTCATGCTCATAACCCTAGGTTTGTTAAGTCTTCTAGAAGGAGCACCACTAGAGATCTTAGTAAGCTGTTTAATGAATGCCGTGATGTGCTTAATAATTCTATGTTGTGTGCTGCTTCGTCTGTTGCTTTGATTTCAGACATTTGATCTGGTAATGCTAAGGATGACTATATTAGTGTTGTTGCTCACTATGTGAATATTGATTGGGAGTTACAGATAAAAGGTTATTGGTCTTCGGTTGATTGAAGTGAAACATTCTGATGAAAACATTGCTGAAGGAGTTGCTGCTGTGGTTGAGGAGTTTGGTCTGATTGATAAGATTTTTGCTATCACTTTAGATAATGCTTCTTCTAATGCTAAGATTATGAAAACTTTGACACCTATGTTTGTTTGTTATTTGGGTTCTGATCCTTCACCTAAGCCTTTAGATTCTAATAAACGTAAGTATACTCTTGTGCATCAACGCTGTGCTTGTCATATAATTAATCTGATTGTTAAATCTAAACTAAAGAGGTTGAAACCTTATCTAGAAGATTTGGTGGCGTGATCACAAACTAATCTATCCAATCTTATCTACAATGGCAAAAGATATTATGTCGGTTCCTGTGTCTACTTGTTCTTCAGAATCTTATTTCAGTTTATCAGAAAGGATCATTGAAGAACGACGCTGGCGCTTGTTACCTGAAACTATTGAGATGCTGACCTGCTTGAAGGACTGGGAGTTAGGAGAAAAGAGGGAACAACATGCAGCTGCTGATAACAAAGAGCTTGAAGAAGCATTCAAGAATTTGTATCTTGATGAAGATGAAGGTGGAGCTGCTGTTGCTGGTGACTGAGAGTGGACTCGATGAAGATGAAGATGGAGCTGCTGCTGCTGGTGACTGAGAGTGAACTTGAATACTCGATGAAAATGAAGATAAAGGTGGAGCTGCTGCTACTGTGCTTTTGTGTGAGTTGAGAGTGGACTTGTCACTCACTCACGTGTGTAACTTTTGCATTTGAACAATGGTCTGTAATAACTTAATACAATCTTTAGAGCTGGCTGCACTCTTTTTTCTTTTTTAGGATTTCTCACAAAGACGAGTTTTACCCAGAAAGGTTTTTAATAAGGTAGTATTACACAAACAACTCATTCTGTTATCTAAGTTTCTGTTATCTACGTCGTTCTGTCAGTTCTTGTGAGTTGACACTTGTTATCTATGCCAAATTCTGGCTGTGGGCTAGCATGGCCCGCAAATTCTGACGTACCTGACAGGCTGGCCCGGCACGAAAAAAGGGCCATAAGGCAGTGCCTGGGCCAAAGATCAGACCCACGGGCCTGTTAGGCATGGCCCGTAGGACACGGTGTGCCTACTCGGCCCGAACCCCATCGGGCCATGCTGGCCCGTTACCGTGTCGGGCCGGTCCGTTGCCCATCTATACTCCCGCCCAGGAACGACGGCAGCTCAGGCCTCAGGCGGCCGCCGCCCGCCGGCCTGCACGCCCCGTACGTCCCTCGCTTCCTTGTCCTCCCCTGGCTGTCGGACGCTCGTCGAACCCGGTCAGACCACAAGCGAGCGCCCCCACACAACAGAAACACGCACGCACACACTGAGCACGACGCGAACGCGTCGCGTCTCTTCTCTCTTTTCTCCCGTCCTTTTTCTCCCTCTGCCCCGCAGGCCTCTCTGCCTCCGCCCCGCAGTTCCACACCCACCCTACGCTCTCCTCCCTCTCCACCAGGCGCCTCGCGACTCGCGAGGGAACGCCACCGCAGCCGCCGCGAGGATTCGGCGGGCGTCCGCCTGGACGCGAAATGCCCGCCCAGAAGCGCCCGCTCCCGTCGCCCACCCCCGATGATTCCGAAGGCCGCGTCGCAGTGCGGCACACCGCCGCCAGCGGTGATGGAGGCAGGGGCGGAGCCTCACATGAGATGGATGGGGAGGCCTCCGCGCGTCAGGAGCGCCCGCCGCATCGGGGGCCTCGCGACGGTGGTGAGATGAACGACGCCGCCCCGATCGCGGCGCCTCTGTCTCTCGGCTCGCACGTCGTCTTCGATGCCCTGGGTCGTGGATGTGCCTGAGAGGTTTCGTTTGTGTTTGGGCGGTTTCGCAGATCCCGACGACAAGGAGGTTGGTGGCTGCGGCGGAGGAGACGGAACCGACACCAACGGCGAATCGTCCCAGTCCGCGAGCGCCGGAAGCATGGAAGAGTAAGCCTAAGCCTGAAGCCCCGCTCTACTGTCATCTCTCACCCCCTCCGACCTCTCCTAGGTTGCCTCGCGTGGCCGTTAAGGCGATCCGACGACCTCGTCGCCGCCTCGTGTCTAGTGCGCTAGCCGCTAGCTGCAGCTCGTAGTTGTGCTTCACGCTGGCATCCGGCAAGCGGGCAAGGCACGTGCGGATCCGGTGAACTGAGGGTGGGTGTTAGAACAATGTGCTCGACAATTGCTTCCTTCGGACTGTTTTTTATTAGCCTCTGCCCTCTGGTCATGTCGTCCACGACCGGACCACCAGCGGCACTGGCCAAGATATATGGATCCCTGCTAGAAGAATTGAACGTGCGTGGAGTCGGGCTTTCGATGGTGTGCATGTTTCCGCCACTGACCCATGGTGACTGCTTTCGTTGGGATGGCACAAGCTGTGGCGTGAGTAACAGGAGCACGATCGATCCTTAGCAACTTCCATGGCCTAGCCACCGAGGCCTGAGGACGAGTCACGTCTCCTGCTAGTCCCTCGAGCTCACGTCGGCCTCTTCACTTCTCCGTAGACAGTGTGAAATGCAAGAGCCTGATACTTTGCTCTATCAAATTTGGTTTCTGGTTTATGACCTCTGCTAACAGAAGCTTATAGAGTTGGGATTCTTGCTCAGAGCCTCAATCGTTTTCTTTTCTCCCCAAGAGAGCAAGCTGCTCCTATCCTTTCCCTCCTGCTCCAACTTGCAATGTTGTACCAGTCAAAGCAAACAACCAGATAAAACTAACAAAGCTATCGTTATCAACCAGCCTGACAATTAATTTTGCAGCCTGATGAACTGAAGAGTTGCAATGAGTCCCTGTAACCTCTACACCAGAAGAACTTGAAGTTTCAACGCTGTTAGGAGTAGAGTTGTGTGAATAACTGAACATATCTTAGTTAGTCGCTTCTTTTAAATGCCTAGCGTCTTCGTCAGGAACTGAAAGGAAATATTTTATGGCTCCCTTGCAAGTGACTTCTACATCGACATATGCCCCTTCCTTTCTCCGATAAAATAGTGTCATTCCATCGTGGGAGCCCTTGGTTCGATTGTACTCACGTACTGACGTAGTGGCCCTTTTATTTTCAGTCTTCTTCCTTGCTACGAGTACGTCGGTGTCGGTGACTTGCTCTTGCTCGCCTGTTCGGTTGTCTGTTCCACTGGCCACCGTTGCTAGTCGTTTGATCTGTTGTCATGCAGTATCAAAGTTGGCCTGTCTTGACTCACTCCCCTGCTGTAAGCTATTCAAACTGAAGAGTCTACGCTGTGTTTTCATCTCGGATGGTTTCCTTTCAACGTGCTCTACAAACTGACGGAACAGAGATCAATTATAAGCGTGGCCACATAAGATTTCCTGGACTGATCTCCACCAGACACCAGTCCGTCGGCCGCTGGAGACTAGAAAGGTTGGCAGAGAACCAACCGGCACAGCCAACTGCGTGAACAATGAAGATTGATTACACGCAACTGGCCGACACGCCGGGTGAGAGAGGCGGAGCCAAGCCTTTAACCAAGGGTTGTCAGCAGCTTCCAGACTCCGGGATCACCGGCCGTCAGCAGAGGTCGGTCGCGAGCCGCTCGCCGCATAGGGGCGCCGGGGAAGGAGGACGTCGACGCCTTTGTGGCAAACAACAAGCACAAAGCCGGGGACGGCGGGACGCGCAGCAGCGATTTGCCTCACCCAGTCACCCGTGTTCTGCAATTTCAGCTTCAATCTGAAACAAGAACACCCGCGTGTTCTCACGTGGATCGAGCGCCAAGCGGCCAAGCGGTATGCGAATACTACAGCCCACGGCTTCCTCTCACTAGGAAGAATCGGAGTCACACAGCCGCCAGCCCAAGGAACGCGGAGCGAGGCAGGCGAGGCGAGGGGGAGGCGGCCTTCACGCCTGCATGCGCCGCCCGTGCGTCGCTTGCTGTTGCCGCCCCGCCCCTGGTCTGTCGCGCGACTTCCTAAGCCAGTCAGAGAAGCAGCAGGCGCCGGCCCCCACCGCAGCCCGTCAAATAGACCAAACCTGCAATTGCAAACCCACCACAAGACGAACACCGCCCTGCTTATTTTCCTCTTCTTTCTCTCCGCATCCCTTCCAGGCAGGGACGGCTCCCTCACCCACCTGGCCACCTCCCACCTCTCCATATACTTACCCCTCCCCGGTCCTCCCCATCCTCCCCGTCGAGCCACACCACCTCCCCTCCCTCCCAAGCCCCGGACGCCTCGGCAGGGTGGCGAACCACCGCCTCGCGCCCTTGCTGCAACCCGAGAGCCAAGATCCTAGGGGCAGAAACCCAGAATGCCCGCGCAGAAGCGCCGGCTCCCATCGCCGTCTTCGAAACCCCGCGACGACGTCGCGGCTACAGCCTCTGATGCCGCCGCCGGCGGAGGCGGAGGCGTAGGAGAAGGAAGAGGAGGACGCCCGCCGCTGCCGAGCAGGGGCGCCGCCAAGCGGGGTTGACTGACCCGGAGTCACAGCACGGACTCGAAGACGGTGAGCTTGACGACGGCATCGGGACCGGCGTCCGTCGCATCTCGTTCTCTCACGATGTGCATGTCGCCTTCTGTATCCCCGCGCGAATATGGCTAAGAGGCTTGTGTGCGGGTTTGGTAGATTCGGACGCGGAGGATGATGGCGGCGCGGACAGCGACAGCGAGTTCTCCCAGAGCGACGGCGGCGGCACCGACGAGTGAGCCTTCTTTCCCTCTCTCCTCCGCGGTCTATCCCTCCGATCTCGTGGACCCCCTCTCGCTGTCTACGATATGCTTGTGGCCTGCTCGCGGTGCCTGTCTCGTGCACCCCGCCCGCCGGTTCCTCGTATCCGGAGTTCCCGACCCGCCGGTGGGCTTGGTCCTCGATGAGCTATCCGTTTCAGTCATGGTTGCTTAGTTCGTATGATCAGGTCACCTGTATGCAAACGCACCGATCGCCAAGCTGACATGGATGATGCATCATATGCGTTCGAGCTAGGCAGGCATGCGATGGCCTATATGATATGCATGCTTCCGTCATGATGCAGGCCATCACCGCGATGGAGATCGCCGTCCTGCTGGTGACTTGGCACTCTCTTTGTTTTGTGCGCTTGTACTGTTGTGTTTGAACCACTGCTTTCATCTGAAATTCTGAACTGCTCTGTCTGCCGTGGCTATTGCTGTACGTTGGAAGAGTTAACAGTTCCGACTGTAATGCACATATGTTTTCCAACCAGCAATGCATATGCTTTAGAAATTCATGAGATGAAATATTCTACAGCTTGGCTTCAGTCGCAAGTCCAATTTCCATATTCTTTTATCTCAGTCTCAGGTATACGGAGTATGAGTCAATGTATCCATATCAGACTGTAACTGTAAGCAATTCTTTACTGGGACTATTTCAGTACTGATACCCTCTGGATAGTGAATACTTAAGTATGCTCAAATATTCAGTTTATTAGTTACATATCGACCTTCACTTCTGCTTGCTTTATGTGATCTTTGTGTAGTGTCATAAAATAGCTATACCTTTTTGGTTTCAAAAGAAGACATAAATGCAGATGTTACATTTAATTATATTTACCTGCATTTCATTGCACTACATAGATTGAAAATCATTATTCAGGCTCATGGACTTTGAAATATTTGATGTTTTACATGATTTGAAGCTTATGTGAACTGCTTTCTCTCAGGTTTATGCTAGTGAAATTAGCAGACATAAGGAAGGAGGTTCAGTGCCCTATCTGTTTAGGTGAGAATGTTCTTTCTAATTTGCTTAGATAAACCTGGATGTTATATTATTATTTTCAGTTTTCTTGGTCGAAACTGAAATCTAGACATGATATGATTCCCTTATGCTTGTACATATCTGATTTTTTCAATTCATTGTTTAACCTAGCATATTAAATATCCTGCTTGTTTCTTTCATTCAAATCTATACTATTTTGTGTGTCTAGTAAATGGTCTGCACACTATTGTTGATAGATTGCAGGCTATTTTTCTTTTTCACCTCTATGTATTTGTCAGTGCACCGGATGCATCTCAAACAGATAGATAAATGAAGGCGGCAAATGATTGTCTTTCGAAATCTGTGACGTTCTCTCAGTTACCTCCCTCTCGTTTTGTGAATAAGGACATCTGTAATCCCATTACAGACTTAAAGTTCCTATAGTTAAAGTTGCGGTTTACACTTTTTGAAGGGCAACTCTGCAGTTGCACTAGATTTCTTTCATTTAGTGTATCATGTAGCATCAATATGATTTTTAATTATGTTTTCTTAATGAAGATTCAGATTAAAGAACCATGTCTCTACATTGAATTGTCTGCACTAGCTGTCTGCTAGTATAAACTCATCTTCCAGTTATTTGTAGCTGGGTATCATATACATGCCATTTTTTTAAGGGATTGCTCTGTTGGTCCCTCGGTTGCCCTGTACAGGTAAGCAGTAAGCTTATCAGCACACTCACTCACTATGGCTAGAGGTAGAAGAAGATATTAAGAACAACTCAGACACACACACATCACAAGCCCAGCGCTGGCCGAAAGCTCTGCTTCTGGATGTAGCAAACTGAACTCTCTTCACTGAGTTGCAGTGGGAAGCTATATATACAACTCTACCCATCTAATCATAGTATACAGACATGCTAGACTGCCATGCTGCTACAGTGACTAGAAGTGACAGCAGGGCTGACTTTAGCGCCTGCCCCTGCTGTGGCTACAGTGCGGCAGGGGAGCCTTTCGGCACCTGCCCCTGCCGTGGCTATAGTGCAGCAGCAGGGGAGCCCTTTCGGCGCCTGCCCCTGCCGCGCGTACATAGGGAGAGCAGCATATTACTTTACATGCTCCAAGTGTAAATCACACTGTTTTCTTAGATGCGATACACTTTCTCCCTTATTGTAATATTTCTTATCCACTGTGGCTGTAACCCTTCTGATTCTGGTGTCAGTTCGTCTCTAATTTCTCTAGTATAACCTACCATGTGTCACATCTGGTGTTTTTTATTTCCTATAGACCATGTGATGCTTTTTATCGCCTTTTCAGTGTTCATACAAAATTAGGTAAAATGGTTATATTAATCTGAGCTAAGGAATATATTGGATGAAACCCCATATCCAAGTAGATAATCTGTTTGTTACTACTCCCTCTGTCCCAAATTATTGGCCGTTTCAGTTCTCTCCTAAGCCCAATTTTTCTATCTTTTTTTTGACCAAGCTTATAGAAAACTTGGTCAAATTTAGAGAACTTTGGCTTAGAACAAAACTAAAACGAACTTCAATTTGGAATGGAAGGAGTTAGATACAATAATTTACATCTTTGAAGTTTGAGAATTTAATTGCTTGATTGGCATCGTTTTTCTGTCAGATGACAATATACCATGGAGTCTAATCATTCTATTTGACAGGTATTATCCGGAAGACAAGGACAGTTATGGAATGTCTGCACCGCTTCTGTAGAGACTGCATTGACAAATCTATGCGGCTAGGGTATGATGCCAGGCCTCATTTTCTCTAAAATCGTGTCACAATCAATTTTTAAAAGTAGAATTCGAAGCCTAATTTTGTCTCTAGATCATAAAATAGAGGGCTATTATCTGATAATAAAGATAATGCTCTGATTTTGCAGAAATAATGAATGTCCAGCATGTCGCACTCATTGTGCAAGTAGACGTTCTTTGAGGGACGATCCTAAATATGATGCACTGATTGCAGCCTTGTATCCAGATATTGACAAGTACGAGGAAGAGGTGATGTCTATGTTCCCCATCATCGTTTTGCTAGCCTCATTTAGCCTCTCCATGAAGTGCTTCTAATATACTTGATACTGCAGGAACTTGCTTTCAATGAGCAGGAGAGGATTCGGAATCAAAAGGTGATCTCAGCTGCTTTGTCAATACGAGCACTGTATTTGTTTATACAAAATTCATTTGCATTATATCCTTATATTTAACCATCTATGTCAACGCATCATTGTTTTTTTCATTAAGATACAAGAAACCATTGAGGAAACATTCAGAAGACAGTCCGAGGCAATTGGTAAGAAACGTTCTACGGCAAAAGCAACTGCCACTGCCTTTTCAAGGAAGTACAGGAGAAATATGCGAACACGGGGAAGAGGTAGAACTATTACCCCTGATATTGCCCCTACTGGCTCTGATGAGGAGGATAGGGAAGAGGAAAATGCCAATGAGGTCACCAAAGCGCCATCTTCTGCTGACGATCATTCTCCAGATTTAAGACAGAAAAGATGCAGGAAGACGTCTGCATCACAAGCATCGCCTGCTAGAACCATTGGCAGTAGTGATCACAGCTTTGAGGAGAATGATGAATTAGTTGGTGGAAAAGAATTTTTAGCCACCTCTCCGTTGCGGGGAGAGATGCTTGCATGGGGGAAAAACGGTACACGGAGCCAAAATCGACATGGCAGTGCTGGTTCAAATGGCAGGATTGGAAGGAGTGCGCGCGTTGCAAAATTGGTGGATCACCTCCGTAATGCTGATGAAATGGATAAAGAGGTACTTTCATTTTGTATTTATGTTGTGCTGGACATAGTCTTTTCTCACAGCTATACTTCAGAAATATAGGAATTAATCATGAAGCAAAACCTGTTTGGGAAACAACTCTTCAAAGGAGGGACAAAATTGCAAGTTTCATGCTCATGTCGTGTTTTTACAGTGTTGTTTTCCTATTTGCTTTTTCCCCTTCTCTTCAAGGGAAACAGTTGGAAAGGGTCGCTGGCCTTTTGTCACACCAGCTACATGTCTCTACTATATTTATCTTCCATGCTTTAGTAGCTCTGTCAAGATGAGCTTAAATGGAGCGTGTGCCAGGTCTGCTGACCTGTCCAACTGTCCATATTTCTGTTTTGCAGTTCCAGTTGTGTCTGGTTCTGCTTCCTGTCGATGGACAAGCCATACCTAACTTGGAAAAGCCTTATCTAAGTTGTCGGCCAACCTTGTCCGTTCAACATCTTGTACAGGTGATTGCTTTCTCAATGGATCTCTTCCTTGATTTTTGAGCATTCCTAGTTTACTCGGTTGGACCTAAATAACTAAAGGATGTGAAATCCATGTTCTTTCAGTTAATTGCTCTTCAGTTGTCTCGGAAAGTCGAAGAACTTGAGATGTACATAAGGATGGACCACCACCATGGAAGTGTTGGCTCGATGGCTTCCAGTACAGGTGAATTTGATGGCTTGGAAAGACTGAGGGAAGATAAACTTCTTTCGGACCTTCATCCTTCATTTGCCTCTAGCAACGGCGATATGGTAAAACCCAGTCATGAAATACATTTGCTGCGATTATGCTTGCTGATTGTTGCCCTTCTGATACACTGCGCTCTTGTCTTTAATGCAGGAGTTGCGATATGCTTTGAAAACTCGAGACTAGATCAGTTTTGATCCTCAGCTATTAATTTATGAAGTCACTGTCCATTCGGTGGTGATGCAAATGAGATCTGCATCTGGTGAACGGATTTATGTAAAAGGAATATTCAATGTGAAAAAATGGTGAAGCTGTTTTTCTGATGAGTCTTGCTAGGTTAATTTACCAACTTTGTAAATATATAACAAACTGAATTGTGAATGTCCGCGGTAGGTGAACAAGCTGTTTCTATTTACTGTTCATTTATATAAGTCTGTGAGATAATGGGAGTCATAAGCTGATTACAGTAATATAAAACCAACCCATTCTTTCCTTGCTCAGGTGCCTCGGTCTGCAATCTTCAACTTCTCTACTTTCTTTCAGCACGACTCTGTAGTTTCTTCTGGTTCAGAGCTATTGGATTTTGAGTAGTGATTTCAGAGTTATTTGGGAACTGTGGCCAGTGGCCCCTTGTGGCGAAATAAGAATGTGCAAGTTTTCGTGACCTCCGCTTGACATTCAGCGACATAGTAGTAATGTTGTACGCAAATTTAATTAGGATTTGGACCAATAAACATAAACAATAAATTAGCCTAGCAGCAGCAGCCATGAATGCGTAAAGAATAAGACGAAGATGCAAACAGATTTGGTTGCTCAGAGGACAGAATCATCGGGTGTTGTATCAGTATTGTACCCTCCTGCGAAGTTGGTTCTAGGCCTCTAGGGAGAGGAAGAAGAGGGGCGCTCCAGGATGCCGGCGTGGATGAGCAGGGTCCACAAATGGGTCATGAACTCCCCGCCGGCCGCGAGCTTCTCTGCGTGGATGTCGGCGTCACTTGACGGCGCGAGGAAGAGGACGAACTCCGCCCAGAAGTCTGCAAGCACCTTCCACCGCCGCGCCCTGTCGTGAACTCTGTACCTGAGCTCACTCCCAAGCTTTGCTCCCATCCCCAATATTGTCAGCTCATTGCACTGCAGCTCTAGAAGCTTGACACACCTGGCTCTCATGGTGTCGCACCCGGCGAGGTAGTCCCGAGCCTCCATGACCACAGCGTTGAAGATACGCGTCGTGTCGTAGCCGTGCCCCGGCAGCATGTCCGGAACGAACGCCACCAGGTAGGCGCAGTACTCCGACAGGCACTTGGCCACGAGGCGGTCGCCGGTGAGCGGCAGCTGCTGCGGCGTCGTCATCTCACAGATGGTCGTCCCGATGTGCCACACCAGGACCGTGTGGACATGCGAGGGCAACTCGCACGCCCACGTGAGCCGGGTCGCGTCGTTCCCGGCGACGGCGAGGCGCTGCGCGCCCATCTGCTAGGCGGCCGTCGTTCGCCTTGAACCGCGACAGAACGCGCATCACGACTTCCTCGGGCAACTCGACCTTCTTCGAAGCCTTCTGCCCGTCCCTGGTTGGCTCGATCAAGCCGAGTGACAGAATCGAGGCTACATTCCTCGGGTGGTAGTCGAAGTTGCGTAACAGCGAGTACTGCCCCAGCTTCCTGTCCCAGTTCCTGCCTGTCAGCTTCCGATGCTTCCTTTTCTTGATCAGTTTCATCGCCTTCTTCCTGCTGCCGTCGTCTAACGGAACGGCTTCTCCCTTCCAGGTGATTTTGCTCGCGCCGGTCAGGGTATGCAGATCGTCGACCACCCTCCACTTTTGGTCGTCGATGCGCGATTCCACGACCAGCACGACGACAACAATCACCATCAACACGACGGTGATGCAGTGAATGACATCTATCCCATTGACAGTCTGCTCCAAGCTGGTCCGGTGGTAGTGTCTGCTGAAAGCTCCGGAGATGGCGTTCCAAACAATCACGGGGAACACAAACACCACCGTCATTCCGACGTACTGGGTGTGCGACTGGTGCCTCGTGTAGAAGAAGTCGTACAGGAACGCGAGCTCCATCTCGATCACCCGGAAGGCACGGCTGTAGTCAGCCTCTTCCCGGAGGAGCCCAGACACGACGAGCCGCCGCGTCTTGGGACGACCGGCCTCGCCGTGCTCGTACTTGGCGAACCTCCGCTTGAGCAGCTTGAACAGAGTGAAGGACAGAGCGATGTCCTTGAGGATGCCGCCGTGCTCCCTGCTGAAGACAGACACGCTCTGGCTGTCGATCCACTGCCAGACGGTGTCGACCGTGGTGAACGCGCACGCGGCGATGGCCGTCCTGTAGTCCGGCTTGGAGAAGTACGGCAGCGTGAGGTCTTCCCCGTGGAATATGTACCTGTATCCTTCCATGGTGGCGGCGTCGAAGACATGGCCCGACTCGTGCTCGGTCATCATGTAGTCGGCGACCACCTTGGTGTGCTTCATGAGGCCGTCCGTCCTGCTCGCCTCCCTCAGCGCCTGGAACTTGGCGTGGGCCTTGGCGATGCTCAGGATCCAGAAGATCCAGATGGTGGCGCTGTAGCACCTGTTCCGGCCCTCGCAGCGGACCATCAGCCACAGCAGCAGCACGATCTGCAGCCCCTGCTGCAGCAGCGTCCGCTTCCACTGCTCGACGTCGCGCAGGTTGTAGGCGGAGAGGGAGTCGGCGCCCGCCTGCACCAGGAGGCCGGCGCCCCACAGGACGAAGGTCTGGTCGTGGAACGGGCCGGCCTCCAGCAGACCAATGGTGTAGGGGACGAGGACGGTGGCGAGCGTGTAGACCGCCCAGATGAGGAAGCGGAAGGACTTGTCGCCGCGCCGGTGACGGTAGGGGCTCAGCACGACGAGGAGGACCAGGAGGAGGTTGCTGAGGAGGACGAGGACCTCCACGCGCACCAGCTGCCCTTCCACAGTCCTCAGGCTCTCGACGATGGTCGCCGTGGTGTTCCTCAACCCCATCGGCAGCTGCCCTGCTTTAGCGCTCTTCCGTACTCGTCTTCTTCGCGTAGGCGTAGCAGCAATGATCGCTCATTGACATTGACAGTAGTATAATACACCGCATGCCAGACCGTTTGTCACGTGAAAATGTTGAACTAAGCGCCAAACACGTACGCTGTGGCTCGCAACTCAGAGTTTGACTTCAAAGTTACTACTGTGAACTTGAGAGCTACTAGGTCAACTCTCAGCTCTCAATTAAAGAGCTACTGTGACTTCAAAGTACGCTGGGGGGTGCTTGATGTAGCTCAATTCCTATTGGAACCTTGAATAATTATAAAACTAGCTACAGTTCACACAAATAACATGGATAGCTAGTTTTTTTTCTTCTTATTATAACATTATAAGATTTTTATTTAAAAATAACTTTGCTAATAATTCTCATTTGTTTAAATCTATTTTTTTCTCTCTTTATGTGCGTCGCTTCATCTTTGGGCAGAAATTACATTCAACTATGTTGGACAGTTCCATAAAACTGTTGTTATCTTCCTCTTTTTTTTTTCGCTCCTATCTCGTGACTTCGCAATTAATTTAGGGCAAGGCCATTCAAGGAAGCCTAGGCCATTCAAGGAAGCCTCCGTGAACTCAATTCTTCTTGATACATAAAGAGAATTTGGTGATTATGCCCCTATGTTAGAGTTCAATGGTGATTTGGCCCTAACTGTTATGGATTAAAACTTCCGTTTACCCTTGCTTTAGATGCCGTTAGAAGGAACTAGAATGAAAAGAACAAAAAACAAAAATATCATTTGAAACATGGAGAGTGATCAAGTAGTACTGAATATATAACATCCAGATCAGTCGTAACCAAGCCGAGAGTGATCAAGTAAATGAAATGTGCTGCAAGTAGCAAATGGATTATCGCCAGCAAATGAGCATCACCCTCCAGCACAGTAACCAAGCAAAAACAAAATGTCACCGTCAAAATTAGATGGATGCAACATGCAAGCAACAAGCACTTAGCCCCACATATGGATTCTGAAGCATCAGAAAGACAAAACAGGGGAAGTTGACCAGTGACACAGCACTTTGACTGCTCTGGATCCTTTAAACTGAAACAGAGTTTAGTATGCTCTCTCATGAGCTAAAATTAAGAGTATAAGACAACGGTTGATGAGTAAAGATATTCTAGATTACATCAGTATCTCCATTCTTTTCTTGGCCACTTCAGTATTCCTAATTGTATTTTGTCTGTAGTCAAGGCCTCAGGCACAAGCTCAATGTTGTTCAATGATCTTGTCCCATACAACCAAGTGCGCTGTGATTTCAAGATTATAACAAATATATGTTGTATGATTTTGGGTGCTCCCACAACACCAGCACACTGAGATCAGCACCAACCTCACTAATGATAAAGACACACCCCACTATAAAGCTGATACTATCTTTTCGATTGCTACTACCACCAAATTTCCCATTTCAAAGAAAATCTCCAGCGAGCACCTTAAGTCTGTCAAGCAGTCGAAGGACCGCCACTTGGTCCCTCACCTGTGGAGGCCACTCGTAACACTGCAGAAATAAGTACATTTCCAGAAAAAAATTTAGCAAGGTTGAGAAATCAACTTCCGCTCATTAAACATCTGGTTCTAAGTTCTAACCAAGCACAAAGAACCAACAAGTAGCTGCTAAGTGCTAATGGCTAACAGGACAGGCAAATAGCACAACTGGTCAGATTAAGAGACGAACTCGAAGTTGCAGAAAAACACATCCATTTTTTTTGGATAAGTCACATCCATACTTTTATGCTGTTAAGCGACAATGTGATATATCATAGCTAAGGAATGCACAGGGTTAAGGACATGTTTGACGCTGATAACTGGAGTGTAGAAAGCTCGATCATACAAACTTATAGAGTACTAGGTAATAGCCCTTTACAATTACTTTCACCTTCATGGCCCAGCCCAAATTAAGATAAATTTTCTAGATCCCACCATATGTGATGAAGAAATTGCTATACTGCATATGTAGCCAATTCCAATAGTGGCCAGAGAAGAAAATATGAGTGTAGGGGTATCACAGTTTTGCATGACATGGGATAGTACAATGTTATAAAATCACTATATTGTTCTAGAGCACATATTCCCCATACTGGATACTAGTGCCTATAAATCCACTATATAGAGAGAAATCCCAAACAGGCAACAATGTAAAAGGCTAATAAGCAGCAGGTTCTGATGTGCTGGTACCTGGAGTGTAGAAGCTCACGTAGGGAATGATATCATAGAAGTCATCAGTCATAACACAAATGCTCTGCCCAGTCTTCAGATCAAGAGTGCAGAGCCCATCAGTCGTCTTGAGGAAGATGACACCAACGACGTCCGCAAAGGCAACCACACAAGGCGTTGCCCCGAGGGCAGGAGTAGGGAGCAGTGCCCTGAGCTCAATGGCTCTGCTTACTGCCCATTTTCCTGCGTCTCCCTCAGGACCGGTCTCCATTGACCAGAGCTTGAGAGTAAACCGCGAGTCCACTTCTGCAAATCCCAGTCTACCGTCCTCCATAGTCATGAGCCCAAAGCGCCGACCATAGGGCCTCTGTGGAACGGGAATCACAGACATTTTGCGCGTAGCCAGATCATACTTGAGCATCCTGTATCCCGCCTGGAAGACGAAGTAGAGTGCGTTCCGCGCTAGAGCGCCGGGCAGCGTGTCGTCGAGATGGTCGCCTGGGAGCTGGGCGGAGGTCGCCTCGCCCCACGCCGCGGCCTCCGACGAGTAGACGTGGGCGAACATCTCCTTGGCGTCGATGCCGACGAAGGCGACGAGGAAGTGGCCGGGGCGGCAGTCGAGGTGGTGGCAGTCGGGGTGGCGGAGAGCACGGCGGCGTTCCAGCTCCGCACCTGCTGGGGCCGCGGGAGGAGCGGCAGGGGCCGGTGCTCGTCGGTGACGGGATCCCAGACAGCGAGCGCGTCGTCCTGCTCCTGGGCCACGCCGCGACCGCCCCACGTGATCCGGTTGAGGAGGACGCGCCCGTGGCGGGCGTCGTGCGCGCGGTAGTCGCGGCGGTGAGCGGGGGCGGGGCGGAATGCCAGCGTGGGGAAGAAGCGCGTGGAGCCTCCCGTGTGGGTGAGGTTGGCGAGGAAGCCCAGCAGAGGAGGCGCCCCCTCCGCCCCGTGGCGCTCGCGGTAGCGGCGGCAGAAGCCGCGGTCGCCGAGGAGGCGGGCCCAGTGCTTGCAGACGAGCGCGGCGCGGAGGAGGCGCGCGGGGTCGTCGGGCGGCACGCGGAGGAAGATCTCCTCGACGATCTCGTCCAGCAGCGCCGGTGGGGCGCGCTCCGGCGGCGGCGGCGCCATATGGGTGGGGACAGGGGCATGGCCGAGGCCGAGAGAGGGGAAACCAGGGGGCAGTTCATCCATCTCGACGGAACGGTGTTTGCTTGGCAGGTGGGGTCGGCAAGGCAGTGGGAGTAGCCGTTCACGGGTATCCTATTCCTATTCCTATCGATTTCTTCCACACCTATCGGCGGCCGGCAACAAGCCAGGACCCTGTTCCGATGCTACGGTCGCCGCCGGTGCCACTACGCCCTTCCGCTGCCCGCGCCTCCCCGCTTCCGCCCCCTAGATCTAGAGCTGCAAACCCTAACACGGACACGACGACAACAACAACCGCCGCCGCCTCAGCGGACAGAGCGGCCACCATGGGCGCGGCGGCGTGGTGGCGGCGCGCGCTGGGGCAGCGGTTCAACCCAGCCGGCGTGGCCGCGGTGGCGGCCGTCGCGGCGTCCAAGCCGCCCCTAGCGCTGCCGCACGTGTCGGTGCAAGACATCAGGTGGCTCGACTGGGCTGAGCTCCGCCGCGCCGGGTTCCGCGGCGTCGTTTTCGACAAGGACAACACGCTCACGGCCCCCTACGCGCCCGCGCTCTGGCCGCCGCTCGCTGCAGCGTTCGACCAGTGCCGCGCGACGTTCCCGCCCGGTGCGCTTGCCATCTACAGCAACTCCGCAGGTCTGCCTGGTTTGACTGCTCCTACCTATAGAATTGGGGCGATTCTTTTCTTTTCTTTTCTTTTTTTGCAAGGTTCTGGGTGTTAATCGAATTGATTTGTCTGTGGGTGTGGAAGGGTTGACGGAGTATGATCCGGACGGGGTGGATGCGAGGGCGATCGAAGCGGCCATCGAGGGGGTTCATGTGATCAGGCATGGCAAGTGCAAACTCGCTACCTGGCTTTCGTGTCTATCCTTTGAAATTTACCTGATAGCTCAAAGAAGCTCTGTTCGATGAATAAGTGCTCAGTTTCGTAATCTTACTTCAAAATGGTGGTTCTTAGCTTTGTACACTTGTAAATTGATTTGTTCTTGGTAATTTCAAAAGTTCTTAGATCTAATGCCTAACTTTGAAGGAAACTCATTGGATGGAGCTAACTTGTTGCCTTTTTTTTTTTTGAAGCTAGGGGGGTCCCCCATTTCATTATCATCATAATGGAAATACATCAGCATTTGAAAGAGCTAACTTGTTGCCTGGATGGTCCATTTGCATTGTGCAGTACTGTTTTAGTTATAGTTGTTGTTTCATTAATATAAGTTGTGTACCAAAATACACCTCATGATGTTTTCAAATGTGTACGTTGTTGTGCCTGTGTCGTGCTCTTATAATTTGACTTTGCTATAGAAGTGGGAGCTCTAAATCATTGTTTTCATGTTTAAGAGATAATGTGTTTGTGCATTTGTTCTATTGATTGCAGATGTAAAGAAACCAGGTGGACCAGCTAATGAAATAGAGAGTTACTTTGGTTGTTCAGCCACAAATCTTGTGTTGGTAGGAGGATAGTTGTGAGCTGTGACTATTCTTACTAGAAATACGTTCTAGTTCTCTAATTTTAGGTTGTCACCTCCCCAGGTTGGTGACCGTTACTTCACTGATGTGGTCTATGGAAACAGGAATGGCTTTCTTACAGTACTGACAGAGCCTTTAAACATCTCTGATGAATCGTACATTGTCAAAAGGGTATGTTCCCTATTTATCCTGTAAAGCTAACATCGTTTTTGTAACCTTGAAAAGAAAAGGGAAGACGAGCAGTGTTATTGATATAATCCTAATGCCTGGAGTCCTGGAATAAACTTCGTATGCTGCTGCATATGCTGCTTTATTCATGGGTTTTCGGCTTTGTCTGATTTTGTCTGATTTTGAAAGTTGGAAGCACCAAGATTTATGGTTTTTAAGTTGGGGATTCTTCAGACTCAGAGACAAATAGGTTGATAAAATGTACTTCACTCTATTATTTATATTCGTTCACACATGATTTGGCAAATAGGTTTGTTTTTTGTTAATATATTGACATTTATTCTATTTTAGCAGTTTAGACATTTTTAAAACATTTGGTTTGCTGTTTAGTCATTTGAAGGTAGTGTTTCAAGCATATGGCATATTTCTGAGTTCTGACCTTGTTTATTATTATTACTCCCCTTGTTTATTATCATTTCTTACTGGTTTGGGACGAATCTGTGCTTCCTCAGGTTAGGAAACTGGAGGCGTACATCATCAGTTATTGGTACAAGAAAGGGCACAAACCAATAGAGCATCCTTTGCTCCCAGATGCAAGAAGAATAGTGAAGTTTGACCCATATGACGACTCAGTTACAACCAGAATATAGTATAATGATATATGTTGCACCTGCTCACAGTAGAAATTCACTGGTTTCCTTCTCCGGTAGAGTGAGATCTGTTGTTTGGAGCTTTAGTAGAAGATTACAAGGGAGAAACATATGGTGTGTAGAGATTTGCTGTTTTTTCTCTCTTGCAGAATACAATTTAGGGAAATGTCTGGCGTGTGCGTGAACATTACTCTGTCCTTGGTTCATTTTGCATGAAGAAAAGATAATACATGTCTGTCGTGTGCGTGAACATTACTCTGTCCTTGGTTCATTTTGCATGAAGAAAAGATAATACTCGGTACATATTAACATGCTTCACATGATCGTTAGGCAGATGCACTTCACTACCCATTTACATCACCTTTCTTGTCACCATTTCGTATGCTTCACATGATCGTTAGGCAGATGCACTTCACTACCCATTTACATCACCTTTCTTGTCAGCATTTCGTGTGCCAATTGGGTCAAGGCTATTTTTTTTGAAAGGCTATTCTATGCTACGTTATACACAGAGTGATCATTTCTGGGACTGAGTTGTCTACTGCCTGAGTATCTGAAAAATTATATACTACTCCATCCATTCCAAATTATAAATCGTTTTTGTTTTTTTAGACATAGAGCTATATCTAAGTGTATAGCAAAAGCTATGTACTTAGAAAAGCCAAAACGACTTACAATTTGTAATAGAGCGAGTACGTATGAAGTTCACCCAGGAGGCGGCATTTTATTGCTGGGCTTGAATTGCTGGATATTTTGAGCATGTAATTTTCATGACTTACATTTATTAGATTAGAACACTAAACAATCTTTTATACATAGAGCAGCAAAGCCCGCCATTGCGAATTTGAACTGCTTGAAGCGTCCAATTGTGTGCCTCTGAATTAAGTTGTGCTCCTTTTTCTATAATGTGCAATGTAACATACATCTCGTTTTATTTGCTCAACAGTTACTTTCATGTTTACAGAGACGACTTTGGCTTGACTGATGAAGACTTCTGTCCATATGAATATACACCTAGTCCACGCTTCTTTCCAAGCCGGCCAGCATCAACATACTGAACAAGAAGAGGGCAAGGGCTGTACTTATTATCTCCCAGGCCACTGTGAAGTACCCGAAGTACTGAAAGGCATACATCCAACCCAATGAAATCGGCAAGCTGCAGAGGGCCCATCGGGTGATTCGTGCCCAGCTTCATCCCTGTGTCAATGTGCTCTTTGGTTGCCACTCCGGTGTACAGTGCCCAAAAAGCCTCATTGATCATTGGCATGAGGATGCGGTTCACAATGAATCCTGGGTAATCTTGCGAGCATATAACGGACTTCCCGAGTCTGCAAATTTTGCAAATCATCAGGCAATCTCAAGGGTTACGGGTCTGGTAACATCGACATTACAGATTAGACGGAGTTGTGATTTCAGACTAGCACAAGCTGTTGTCAACATCCAAGATAGGCAAGTGCTCTGAGAGCCTGAGACAGGTACGTGTTGTTTTAAAACCTGTGAGATCCATTTTGTGTGTAGAGTTGTTGGAGTAACAATCATGTGGCCATGAAAGATTTATGTTGAAGGGAAAAACACTATGTTACCTACAACAACTGCCAGAAGTTTGGACTGGGTATTTGGGTAAATAGTGCCCACAGTGTCAATTCCAGATCTAAACTTTAACAGAACAGTGAAATGAAGCAAACTCAATATCTTTTTGACTAATTCACTACACACTAGTTTTGCTCTGCTAGCTATGAACAAACTGATTCAGGTGAAAGGGCATAGCAAAGTTTTAGTTACCTTTCGGAAAAAGATTTGACTGCAGCAAACACCTCATCTGTTGTATCAGCTCCTCGGATAATCTCGATCAATTTCATTATCGGAGGAGGGTTAAAGAAGTGCATGCCTATCACCTGCACCATGGAACTCACTTCACAATCCTGAAGAGCAAATTCAAATTCTTTGCATGTACAGATAGACGCCAGAGGTTGCTCATCATCACCTGAGAGGGGCGTTTGGTAGATGAAGCCAGGCGGGTTATAGAGATGGAGCTAGTGTTGGACGCAAGAATGGCCGAGGACTTCGTGATCTTATCCAGCTCCACGAACAGCTTCTTCTTGACATCTTCGTTCTCCACGATGGCCTCGATCACAAGATCCGCATCCCTGAGATCTTGCACGGTGGAGACGCACCTTATCCGCTTGATTGAGTCTTCGTACGCGGCCTGGAGACCAAGCAAGCCCCAAAATTTGTCAAGAAGAGAGCTGAAAGCAGCATCTTTTTTTTCCCCCCCGAGCAACCGGACACCAATCCGGGAAGGGTGCTTTGGGAGGTCAACGCTCTTGCGCTCTTACCTGGGAGAGCTGGCCCTTGGCGGCGAGGCGGAGTAGGGAGGCGGAGATGGAGGCGACGGCGCGGGAGAGGGCGGTGGGATCGGCGTCGAGGAGAAGGACGGCACAGCCGGCGGCGGCGGCGAGCTGGGCGATGCCCGAGCCCATCTGCCCCGCGCCGATCACGCCCACCGCCGCGATCTCACTCGCTGTCGCCATTGTTTTGTTTTGTTTCGTTTCGTTTCGTTTGCAAGCAAGTGGTTGGGCTTATCGCTCTCTGGTATATGATGGGTGGGAATGGGAAATGGGAGTGTCTGGAAATCTTATCGACCTTTTGTCCTTTTGGTTCGTAGGTACGGCAAATAGAGAGGAGTTGGATGTGGCCGGGATAAGAGCTCCGGGTGCTGAGCTGAGCTCGACCCGGCGCGTTGCGGAATGGCGGAATGCGGACTGCACCGCCACCGTCGCCTGCCGCTGCACGGAGCATTTCTCCTCTTCTGCCTCCACACGCATCGTGGAACCCGTGTCGTCCCCCAACTCCTCCCCGTCGTTGGCTTCCTGCTCGTCGACGTGAACGATGAGTATGGTGTGGCGCGCCGACGCCCGGTACCTCCGCCACTCTTGTCTCTCCACTCTTTGCAGAATGGCAGGCGCAGTGTAGCAATGCGTGGGGAGGCAAAGCAGCGAAGGACCACGTTGTCGCCGTCAAGGAAAGAGGTAGTGCGAGTTGCGTAGAAAGTTTAGACTTTGCATCCAATTGATTCGCTGGCCACAGTGGCGTTGAGGATTGAATTGAGATACTTATAGACTTTGCGCGCGGAGGAATGAATTAGTTCATTATTTTCTGACTATTTATTTAACTTTTGTTTGGTTTGCAAAATGTATATCATCTTATTTCTTATAAACTACTAGGAATTAGCACGAGTACAAAGAGTAAAGTCATACCACCAAAATTGAAGAAGTATTCGCTCAGTCAACACCCACCAGAATGACCTGCCCGGTGCAACAAGTTCTATATGTCAATGGTAACCTATTCTCCCAATCATTGAGATAGTTTTGGCAGATAGATGCCACCGAAGAGTTGAGGCATAAAAAGAAAAGGGATTCAGGATAGAGTGCAAAGTGAATGTGCCCAAGCGCCACTGTGTTCTGACCACTACAAGAGTTTCTTTCTTTTTTTCTTTTTGAAACGGCGAGAGTTTCTTTTTGAAAGCCCACTACAAGAGTTCAGGTAGCCAAAGCAAGCAAAACACTTTTCGTGACGTCTCGTGCTTTTCTACCAGATTACGTAAAATAATTGCTTTTTCTCTTAAACAAAAGAATGGAAAATATATACTAGTTTCAAAATCACAAAAACTACCTTTAGAAAGTCTGTTCTGTATATTTTGAGACCCTGCGCTAGAGGAAAACGCCTAGCGCTAGATTTCAGATCCTCCATAACTTTATATTTTTATAAATTTTGTTTCTTTTCCATAAGCTTTTTATTATTATTAAAATTTCTTTGTCTAAAAAAATGGATGTCTTACTATTATTCTAAATCAAACCACGAATTTGACCACATTTATTAAAACAAAAATCAATACTATAATACCAAATTTGTATTATTAGATTTATGATGGAATCTGTTCTTATAATATACCTATTGGTGTCTATACTATTCTCTATAAATTAGTTAAACTTGGTACGCGGTTTGACTTAGGTAAATCTTAGGACTCGGGACGGTGGAAGTAGAACCTATACGCATAACTTTTATAAACTCTTTTGAGTGGTTTTATAGGGTAAGTTTCTGCATGAATTTACAGTAAAACTTTCAAAGGAAGTTTGATTGAAACCAAGTTCCCTAGAAAACTTGTTTAAATAAGTTGGTTGAAACAATTTTATGAAAATATCTCATAACAAGTTTTGTAGACAATTTCTCCAAACAAGTGCTCTAGAAAACTAATCAAATAAGTTGTCATGAAAAACTATTAGAAATAGGGAACGAGGTTGGTGGAGATCAATATAGCTTTGTAAGCATATAGAAAGTTGTGTAGCAAAAGAAGAGAATGTATGTGTTTGCAACGCAAGAATATTTTACAAGTACAAAATGAAGGAGAGAAATTAAACATTATGTGGGGCCATGACCATGGCACACAATGCACGCAATCCTCTGGTATGTGTACCTTAAGTAAAACCTTCATTTGTATTATTGCTATCTAATATTATCAAAGTGGCATTTTTCCCCCTTCCATCTGGTAGTCACTCCTCATCTGCTCTTGTCCATCGGTCCATCATCTTTCACTCGCGCCGTTCTCTTCTTCCATCCATTACTCTCTACTCATCCGTTCATCATCTCTCTTCCGTTCCTCGGTTCGCCATCCCTCGCTCTCCTCGTCCATCCGTCATCTCTCTTTCATCCCTGGTTCGTTATCCCTTACTCTCACTCTTCTCTTCTTGTCTGTCACCTCTCTTCCGTCCCTCAGTCCGTCATCCCTCACTCTCACCCTTCTTTCTTTTACAAATAGCAAACACAGACATATTGATGAGTTTAGAGCGACACCCTTCTCTTCTTCTGTCTGTCACTCTCTTCTGTCTCTTGGTCCGTCATCCTTAGTCTCACCCTTTTTTCTTTTACGATAGCAAACATAGACCTATTGATGAGTTTGGAACGACACCCTTCTCTTCTTCCGTCTCTCGGTCCATCATCCCTCGCTCTCACCCTTCTTTCTTTTACAATAGCAAACTTAGATCTATTGGTGAGTTTGGAGTGTCAAAATTTTCTCTGGCACCACATCACTCATGCCGTAGCCTATCCCACATGCATCGTGACACACATGCTGGTGTGTACTGCCTTCCATCTTTTCTTAAACTCATAACACGTGCACAAATAGTCACCGATCTAAGCTAAGTCGATCTCCTATTAATTTTTTCATACAGATTAATCATTTATTACACAAGCATTTATTATGGACCTTGTAATATATTTGGTTTAAAGTTAGGCTAAGCCCAATTAAATGCAAGACAATAGTTAGCTCGTTATTATTGGCATGAGCACCACAAAATAAATTGTACGTCCTATTACAATGGGCGACCATGTTTGCTAGCATATGATAACCAGCTAGGCAGCAAAAGTAACAACATTATCTCCTTTCCTGCTGAACAGACAGAAAGACTGCAGATCCAAACTTCCGTAGGCGAAGCGCAGATACTGCATACTGGAGCAAATTGTGGTAGACTGCTAGCCTGCAAATCGATGAGCACTCTCATCACAGGACCAGGGCCCATTTGGAAGCAGGGAGTTCAATTTGCTTGTGGCCTTGTGGGCAGAGCATGCCGTTGAATTGTAGCTGTTTCATTTCAGCTAATGTTGAAGCATCGAAGGTAAGGGAGATTATGGTGCGTGTTTTCAAAGTAGCCGAGATTCTGACAAACTAATCTTGTTTTCAAAGTAGCCGAGATTCTGACAAACTAATCTTCAATTAACAATGTCGCTTAAAATTCACGAATTGCGTGTACGTCTACACAAAATCAGTAGTATTATCGTACAGAACTCAAAATCCATGATACAAGGTTTACAATCACTAATCACAGCTTCTATGTGTCAAATGCGGCCAAAGGATCACATGCATATCCTAAGGACCGTGTAACACCACACGTGCACACTCCACACCCCAATTCATAAGCGGCAAAAGAATAAAAGAACGTACCCCCAATCCCAATAAAAAGAAACTGTGGACCACTGCGTAGACGTTCGCTATGCAGCGTGAGACGAGCTTACAACTACAAGAGCATGGCCGCCGCAGCAAGCAGCGAGGACCCGACGCACGCCGTCCAGGTGCCGCCGCTGAGGCCTCGCGGGCCACCGCTGTGGCTTCCCCTGGCTCCGGCGCCGGCGCCGCCGATGCCGCGGCCACCCTTGCCTCCTCCGCGCCCCGCCGCCTCCGTGACGTCCACGAGACTCGCCACGCAGAGGAGCACGACGACGAGCGCGCACAGTGGCAGCACCCTTCTCATCTTCTTCTGAATCCCCAGGCTAGTGCTACTATCCTCACGGATCCGCGGCCTGCCTTGGTGAAGAGTAGAAATGAAGAATGGTTTCTCTTCTTCCCTGAGCTGAATTGTCGTGGGCAGCTGCGCCTGCGCGTCCATCTGGATATGGGTGTACTTATACGCGATCCGGAGTCCTAACGCGCTGACAAGTAGAGTACTCCATGTGTACGAAACAGGACACCACGACGAAATCACCGCACAACACGCTAGTCGGATGATTTTTCTTTGTTGCTGGTTCGGATTTGAAAAGTCTGCAGGAACACATTTGCACCTGATTTTTCTTTGTCGCTGGTTCGGAGTACTCGTGGCCATGTTTAGTTCACACTCAAATCCAAACTTTGGCACTATACAAAAACAAGATTTTCCGTCACATCAAACTTATAGTACATGCATGGAGTACTAAATGTTGACGAAATTAAAAAATAATTGCACAGTTTAGTTATACTTTGCGAGACGAACGTTTTGAGCCTAATTAGTCAACGATTGAACAATTATTATCAAATACAAACAAAATGTTACGCTATAATAATCTACAGTGTTTTCGGCGGCGATTCCGGGCACCTAAACATGTGTTGAATTTTGGATCAAGCTGCCTGCAGCCCCCAGGCCAGGGCAGCAACCAATGCCTGATCACCCAGGTCGTCGTTTTTTATTCAGATTTGCTATCTGGTGCCCGGTTGTTTTGACTCCTGCGAACAACCGGTTTTCTGGCGTGTTGGGAAACCGCACCGTATGTGGGCCCCGTCCCTCGAGCAGCGCGCAGCAACCAGCACGCCCCGCGACGCGTAGCCTGCCCGTGACAGCCTCCCTCAGTCCCTCCCCAGGATCCTCTGCGGCAAGCACAGCTAGCAGTGGGTGTAGGGGCGGCGCAGAAGATCCGGTGGACTAGTGGAGCGAGACAAGAGGATAGACAGGGGCTAACAGGGGTTGTATCTGATATTTGACGATTGTGAACAATTTGACATATGTTTTTCTGTTATTTGTAATTTATAAAAATAATTTGTAATTTTTTTTAAAAAATTTGGCACATATGTTTTTAAGATCTGCAATCTATAGAAATACTTAAATTACATCACTCTATCTAATAAATTACACTGAAGAAATTATTATAAATATATTAATAGAACCGTGTAAATATAACTATAAGTATATGAGAAAAATCTAGTTGTCCGGAGGATTAAAAACAACCGGTTGTTACATGGGCGTTTCCTTTTTATTTAGCACACGTAGGGTGGCTGGATCGACGTAGCTAGGTCGCGATCCAAGTGCTCCCGTAGACCGAGTCGGCAGACACAGACAGAACGTGTCTGGGAGCTTCGCTAGGAAGAGTGCTGGGAAATTTATATCGGGGCTTGTTTAGATTGTATTTTTTTTAATCTGGACACTGTAGCACGTTTCGTTTGTATTTGACAAACTTTGTCCGATCATGGACTAACTAGGCTTAAAAGATCCATCTCGTGATTTACAATCAAACTGTGTAATTAGTTATTTTTTTTACCTATATTTAATGCTCCATGCATGCGTCTAAAAATTGATGTGATAGAGAGAGAGTGAAAAAACTTAGAATTTGGAGGTGATCTAAACAAGGCTCGGTAATTTTTTGATCTGACGTCCGACCTTTACTTAGTATCGTACGGACGCGGGGTGCAGGGACATATGACATAAGACATAACCTATTGTTCATTAATAATATCCAGTCAGGTCTTCCATCTCCCGCTCCGCCGCCCGACCTGCTCGTCCTGCCGTTGTTCCTATCAATGCTCTGCACGCCCGCTCCGCTCCTCCTACCGCTGTTCCTGCCGATGCTATGTGCGTCCGCCCCGCTCCTCCTGCCGATGCTCCATACGCCTACTCCGCTGTTCCACGCGCCCGCCGTGCTGCTCGTGTCATTGCTTATGCTCCGCTGCCCATCCCGCCGCCGACGCCACCGGCGCAAGGCGAAGCAATGGGCCTGGGCGCGGAAGTCCTCCGACCTCGCCTCCTGCTATACCTCTACGCGCCCTGATGCAGAAGGGGGAGGAGACCGCACTAAGATATGATGCATGTTGTAAGTGTACATTTGAAATGTTTCAGATGCTTTAGGGGTATATTTCAATTGTTTCACACGGATGTTGCAAAAGTAGATCGGAATATTGCATATGTTACAGTGGTTGTACACATGCGTTGCAAAGCGTATGTTTCATCTGTTTTTTAGACGTAGGTTGCAAGTGCGTTTATATGGATGTCTGCATATGTTTTACACATATTTTGCAAGTATTTTATCTGGATGTTTACGTATGTTTGCAATGGTTTTTAATTATTTTTTATATGTGTTTTATATGCATGTTTCAAGTGTTTCATCTGTCTTTTTTTTATATTGCAAGTGTTGCATCTAGAATTCTTGATGTTTTAAAAATAGATCTAATGTTGCAGATGAGATGCGCGTGGGCGTGGGTGACACATACGCTGTCAAGTGAAGTCCGCGCAACACAGGCCATGCGTGGACACGCGAAACAGAGAGGAAACCGATTGCAGCTGCGGACGTCCGGACGCTGGCAGTGCCGAATTTATATTACAGTCAATTATATTGGATATAACACGCTAATGGCTTATGAGCCGCCAAACATATACTCCCACACGCACCACCCAATTCATGAACGAACGTACGTGGATACAGTGCGACCGGAGGCTACAAGAGCATGGCTGCGGTGGCCAGCAGCGAGGAGCCGACGCACGCCGTCAAGCTGGTGCCGCCGCTGTGGGTGGAGTTTCCCCTGTTGCGGACGCCTCCGCGCCTCCCTTCGGTGACGCCGACTAGGCTCTCCGCGCAGAACAGCAAGCCCCCTCCCATCGCGCGCCACGCGCTCAGCCGACCCAAGCCTGGTGCTGGTGGCGGTGGTGCTTTTGCGCGCCGCTGGTGCTGGATGCTAGTGATGCTCGCGCGCCGCCACTCGCCGCCGGCTGCCACCCCGACAGCCGGAATTGACCAGCACAGGCACTCAACCTCCCCTATGTTCCAAATGTATGTTTCAAGTGTTTCAGACGTTTCAGAGGTATATTGCGGTTGTTTCATATGGATGTTGCAAAAGTAGATCGGGAATGTTGCACATGTTGCAAGTGTTTCAGAGACATGTTGCAAGCGTTTATTTAAAATGTTTCATCTGTTTCAGACGTATGTTGCAAACGTTTCAGAGGTATATTGCAGTTGTTTCATATGGATGTTGCATATGTTTCACACATATGTTGCAACAGTATGTTCCAAAATGTTTCATTTGTTCCGGTCTTCCGTTGTAGCAAGTGTTTTCATATTACAAGTGTTCTATCTGGATGTTGCATATGTTTTCACATATACTAGTACATCCCGATGTGCCTGAGAGAAATTTGTTTGCAGTACTACCTATGTCTATCTTTTGATCAAATTTATAGAGAAAATTATAAACATTTAAACATGTTACATGATGAATCTAATAATATACTTAGTCATATTTCAAACAGAGAAAAGTCAACTTATACAAACTTTGATCAACAAATTATTCACATTATATACAAGTTTAGAATATGAAACTTGTACCAACGGATGTGATTAAAAGTGTTTCTTAGATCGTATTGATTCTTTAGCATGATAATATATAGTAAGAGAAAATAACAGTCAAAACTGATTTTGTTTGACTTTCTCATGACGATTATCACTCCAGAAAGGAGGGAGTATTTGCTAACATAAACATTGGTAAATTTTTTTAATAAATTAGGTTAAAACTTAGATAGTTTGACTTTGGATAAAACTAAAACGTAAGTAATTCTAGCCGGAAATAGTAGTTTTGTACACTAATATTGATTACTAACCGGTGTCAATAACCCCGATGATCACGTCCTCTCCATAGTTGCTTCTCTGGAGAAGCTCACTGGGTATTTGGTGGTTCAGACCAAGAAAGTCCCAGCTTCGAGTGGTCATCGTTGTGTAACTCCTGCTTGGTTCGATACTGATGACTTCTGTAAGCTCTGTTGGATATGGATTAGCAAAGGCAGAAAGGCGCGGTTAGTTTGCTGATATCCCTAGTCTCTACAGGCTATAACTGCTGCAAAGTCTTGAGCCTACAGACGGAAACACCTGACCTGCAAGCTGCTTAGCTTGGTCTTCAGTAAGCATTGCTGCGAAGCCTGAGAAGCCATGTTTGTAGTTGTGGATGATGGAGTCCAAAGTCTGTTCCTTGCTGAAAGTTCAGGAGTTCCACGGATATACAACATATTAGCAAGTAAACATCACCTAATAACTATGCAAATCTATGATAGTAAATAATGGAGAACTAGATATAGTTCATCGATCAGGGTTGATAAAAATCAGCAAGTAAAAGGAAATTCATGATCCATAGGGGTCAAATAGGAACTAGAAAGTACCTTCCAAGAACAGTCGTGAGCATATCATGGTGCGAAGCGATTACATCGTTCGGGTGCCCATGTTTCACATCGCCTAGATAGACAATATAAAGTTACAAACACATAGATGAGTAGAATTTTGGATTTAAGAAGCCTTATTTAAGCTATACCATACGATAGCAGTGATGGCTGAACTATTAGCAAGCGTGCCTACCTTGCGAGATCATCCATCTACTCCCGATAAAAGCACGCAAAAGCAAAGTAGTAGCGCCAGATGGGCACGCATGGAAGAACAGAGTGCCATGTTTTTTGCCAATATGTCTCGTTGCACATTATTGAAGTTAATGAGCTGGCATTTATAGACGTGAATGATGTTTTTCTATTCTCTTGGTCAGCGACTCAGCGTGTGGGAAGAGTCCGTAACCACTCTCAATCTCATTATCCACAATACGTAGGCATGCCCCATCTCTAAATAAATTAAAAAGTTGTTATAAGTTTGACTAACTTCAGAACACCAATATTTATAACAAAGATTAATATAATTAGATACATGAAACAAAGTTTTCATAGTGCACTTATTTTCCATATGGATATAGATATTATTTCCTAGAAAATTAGTCAAATTTAAAAAAAAATATAGGTAACTCTAGAAGTTGATTTATTTGGGACCGATGGAGTACCACTTTTCCTTTGATTTTTTTTAACTTCTAATATTGTTTTGAGGGGTATCTCACTTTCAGTCGCTGACACACTGACACATCCACAAGTGAACGTATCAAAAACCGAAGCACCGATCACTCCCTAGAAAGTTATACTAGTGCATCCCAGCAGGTTTTGCTACAAACTTTTGTGGTGCTCCTTTTTTTTTAACAGCGATTCAACCTATTTGAACTATTATGTTCTAAGTTGAATCAGATGATAACCTTTTCTCACGAGAAAAATCAGATGATAACCTTGTAATTAAGGATGAAAACGGAAAGAAAATATCCCGAATCGAACCGCATCGTTTTCTACATTTGACCCGAGCGAATTCGTATTTTCGGATAAAATACGGAATACTAAATTCGAATTCGAAATTCGGAACACCAAATTCGAAATCGGATCGAATTCGGTTTCGGCTTTGTTCGACCGATTTCTACTTTTAATTCGGAATATTCCGAATTCGAAATTCGGTTTCGAAATTCGGTTTAAACCAAATTTGGCCCAACAAGTCCAACCTTAGAAAAATTATATCTTTTTCATACGATCTCGGATGAAGATGATTTTTATATGAAAATTGTAGCTCTCAACGAGATCTACAACTTTCTAGTTCTTAGTTTTTTCATTTGATGTCTTGAAGATGTTCAAAAAAAATTAAACAAAGTCAGCGATATATTAATCGCGTACAAGCGCTTGTTGCCTTAAAAAAAATCATATCTTCCTTACGTCGTGTCGAATGGAGATACTTTTTAAGAAAGTTGTAGGACCTGTTAATTATTATGTACTCGTTAATTGTTATGCACTTGGTCCTACAGGTCAATATTCCGTATTGATTTTCCGTATACCGACCGTGTTCGATATAATTCCGCTCGAATTAGTTCGTTTTCGAAATTTTTGATATTCCGTAAGTTCGTGTTCGTTTTCGTGTTCGGCTTTACCGTTTTCGTTTTCGTTTTCGTTTTCGTATTCAAAATGTAGAAGTAGAAAACGGTTAAGAGATTTTTCGACCGTTTCCGACCATTTTCATCCCTACTTGTAATTCCCTCAATGGAAAATGCTTTGTGAGATAAGATATTTCTACAAGGCACCAAAGTCAAGCGATATCCGGTTGAGGAAAAATATACGTATTTCTACAGAAGAAAGTTGCCTGGGCGCGCGGTTTTGTCATGTGTGACTGTGTGAGCTCGCGCCGCAAGATAATGTTTCAATGAGCAGGTGTGTTCGGGATTGCATCATTGCAATTTAATTTATTCCGGTCCAAGAGATCATTTATTCAGTACATTCTTTCCTCGCAATTGATGCTTCAACTAGTAGACCTGACCGTACAACACATTACATCAGTTCTACCACTTGACCACTTAAATATGATTCGTCAACTTGCTACTTCGTTTGGCACGGGGTTCCAAATAGCTCTAGCACCTTGACACATTGCACCAATGAGTCTGAGCTAATAAAACGTAACCGCTTTCATAGAGAAGCCGAAGCAGAAGCGAACCAAAGTTCCACCAAACAGGTCTTATAACCGCTTGTCTCTTGCGGAACCTCGGGGAATAACAGCTATCATCAAAGGAGAAGGAAAAACATCAAATGCTATTTGTTTCACCTTGTATTCAGAAGTTTTTGTATTAGATCCAGCATTAACATTTTTTTGCTAATTAAATTAGTTTGTGTGCTACGATCGATTTCCAAGATAACCGATAGGAGCAAAGCTATCGATTTTGCTTACGACCTAGAGCTACAAATTGCATTGCACTTCTTTGCAAAAGTCAAGGCCTGATTGAGCCAGTCCAGTTTAAAGATTTGATTTGGTCATTTGAGGAGATCATCCGTGCATCATGTCAAGATTGACGCATCCTGATTTCTAAGGTCGTGTATGCTACAAGACTGAGACAACTGCAACCTACACAGACTAGGGCTTGCTTGTTTGGTCTGCTGCACTACTTCAACAGTATTTTTTAGCGAACAAACAATGTTTTTCTCTCATAGCATTTCAGCATAATCCAAATTTCAGCGAAACGAATGGGGCCAATTTTTTCACTTTTAGCTCAAAAGCAGTTTTTCTAACATTTGGCTTCTAACTGTTGACTTTTTTTTATTGATTTTTTATAATAAATTTTAGCTCCTCAGCAAATTTTTTTTTTAGAAAAGTCATTTCACTACACCACAACACCGCTTCCCCGTCAGACATCTGACGCTAAAAAATATATTTGGCGATAGATGATCTGACGCTAAAGATAATTCAGAGACCATCTGACGCTAAATCCTCATTTAGCGATTTAGTGTCTGTCGCTATAGGTATTCATATTTAGCGTTGAACCGTCTGTCACTAAAGCCAAGTGTACCGTCAATCTATCTGTCGCTAAAGAAAATGGGCCCCGCGCTGAACTCTCGTGCCCCACAATATGGATCAAGACAAATAGCCCATCACGGCCCACACTCACAAACAAGAATAAGCCCATACGGGCCCTACCTAGAACCTCATTGGCGGCAACCCCAGATACCCCCCATGAAGTTCGCTCCGTTCCCCAAAATTTCCCCATTTCTCCCCCTCCCTTCCACCCGCAGCCTCCCGCCCTAGAAGGGGAATCAGCCGCCGCCGCCGCCCATGGCCTCCTCGTCGGAGAACACGGGCGCCCTGGCCACGGAGGAGGAGGAGCCCCAGCCCCGCCGACGCCAACTCAGAGCCTACTGAGGCGGCGGTGCCCGCGAGGTGGAGGAGGAGCCACAAACCCTAGAGCGGGCACAGAGAGCTTTCGACAGGGGCGCCAAGGCCATCGAGGACGAGGACTTCGTCGAAGCCGTGAGACCGCCACCAAGCGCCGAGATCGAGTTAGGGTTTCCTTTCCGCCCGATTTCCCTCCACTTCTGCGACATGTAGCTGTGAAGCGACTCCGCGTGTTGGCGTATTTTGGAGCAATTGGCGGTTGGTACGGTGCGTTTCTGTCCAGATTTGCTGGTTTTCGCATCAATGCTTGGGTGGCTCGGGGATTCAGTCCACTAGGGTTTAAGGAGTTCTACAGCAGACTGCTTAACAGGGGTGTTATCGTTTCGTTTATGTCGGTGAGTGAGATGTAGAGAGTCTATCGTTGTCAGGGATCTATTGGATTTGGCTTCGAGACCTGTGGTGGTTTGTGGAGCAACACTTGGCCATGGTTTGTCATGGTGCCTAAATTGTGTTCACCATCAATTGGAGTGTACTGTTTTTTAAACAACTTTGGAGTGTACTGTAGTATACCATGGTTAAGGAAAATGTGTTGTCTGTCTGAGATTATGCAAACATTTCAGAAGTCAATCAACAACAAACTAACTTAGGACCTTGTATCAGTAACTTGGTTGATAAAATCTCTGTATCTATCAATTTCAGTTGTGCTGCTCTATCTCGTTTTACATTGGCCCTCATGGCCTAATGCAAGTTATGTTAATAACGTTTACAGTGGTGCACTAACAATTTTGTGCATTCGTTGCCCACTAGGACTTCACATTATGGAGAGCTCGTGCTGGAGTGTGCCAGCACATACCTCAAATATGGATGCGCCCTGCTATACAAAGCTGAGGAGGAAAGCGATTTTTTGGGAAATGTTCCCAAGAGCATGCCAAATGAAGAGTCAGTGAAGAGTACAGTTTCTAAAGATGATAGTGGAACCTCAAAGATCTCTGGTACCAGTGTGGAGGATGACGTGTCTTCGGAGAAAGCTGATGCTGAAGAAGGTATATGCTTACCACGTACATCTAAGCAAAGTTCACTGAATCACACTTTAATTCTATGTCTCTTTTTGATCTATTATTACTGAACACTAAGTTTGATCTCTTTCTCTTGCTTTTTTATACCTGCTAAGTATTCTATAAAATGCAGTCTTAAACTCCTAATCAGTAGTGTATCTCCTGTGTCACTGTGTGCTTGCAAAGTATTAGTTGAGTGCTAGAACTAATGTCTTCAATCACTATCAGCATTCCATAGGATTCCATTTCATTGAAGTGCTATTTTTTTGAACAATATTTGGGCTATTTTAGTATATGAGTAGGAGATAACATATATAAGTTTGTTTATATCATCATATGTTGATCATATTTCAAACTGGACCTGATTTAATGAGTTTCTTCTATACTTGTATATTGAATGCAAAGTATGGAGTGTTACAACTCATGTTTTTCATTGCAATCAGCATTCAGTTGGTTCATCAAAGTGGTTTGTTTTTCTTGAACAATTTTTGCGTTGTCTTTAGTAGGTGAGTTAGGTGATAACTGATAACTAGAAAATCCTTCGAATGTCCATGCATTTTAAATAGGTCTGATTTTAGATATTTTATTCTAGATCTGTTATTAAATGTCTTCTGTACATGAAGAGATGCTAGGTTAATTAGATATGTTTCTTTGGTGCACTTGTGTCATTTGATTCTCATGCAACTAGCTGTGTAATCATTTTGCTTGCATGGGCCAACTTTTACTAAGATTTCTGTTTGTTGTTATTGTGTTTTAGTAACTTATGACTTACTGGGCATATCTAATTGCTTTCTTGCTGTAAGCCTGCATCCTTACGTGAATGGTTATTATCAGTCGTATGTATGTGGATCAAAGAGACTCTTCTTTAGAATAATGTTTTCATGCTTTTCGGATTCTGATTTGCTTTTAGTTCTTCATGTTGAATGCTCAGTTTAGCAAGGATCTGCGTACGGACTACGGAGGATGCATTTCATTAAAACATTAGTTGGTGTGCTTTAGAACAAACTACTATGTGTACAAAGAATATTCCTTTTGGGCATTCACAGTTACTTAAAAACTTGCTACTTTTCACTGGGCCACTGAGAATATGCTTATCATGTCGTAATTATGCTGATTTCCAAAGTATCATATGCTGAGCATTACTGATGATACATTGTAAATATCAGTCTTGCTAAACAATCAATTGTTTTATTGTCGGTTCTTGTAAATATCAGTCAAGCATTGAGTTTATCTCAGTGTCTTGCTAAACAATCAATTGTTTCATTGTCGGTTCTTGTTGAAGGTCATTACACTGAGTGAGGACAACATGATTCTTGATGAGGAGAACAAAAGGCTGTTATGTTTACTGGAGGAAGAGCAACGACGCCTATCTAAAAGAAAGAAATCTTCCTGTACATCCACCACGTAAATTGGTAAACTTTGTTGTGTGCTAAGATGAATGATTTTGTTGCAAATACATGCAAGTAGTCTAGCTTGAAGGATGGCAGCTTAGATGACTGGGCTCTTGATTTTGATACTATAGATTAGCCATTTCATTTGAAAACACTGAACAAACGTGATTATCTTATATAATGCTGCTCTTCTTGATAATTTTATGCCATTCAAGTCAAGAAAGATAGGCTGAAGTTTGAGCATAGATTGATTCACTTCTAATTCATTACTAGTTAATTAAGCCCATGTTATGCAAGATCTATTTTGCATGAATAATTCATTACTACTGTACATAATATTTCAGTACTTGAGCTGATAAGTTGTATTGCAACGAAAGAGAAGCTTGCACCCTAGGCCTGTTGTAGCCCGATCAGTTAATCCAACAGTCAGCTTCTGAATCCAAATTTGATCCTAAACACATAGCACTTGAGACCTGACTACCTTCTAGGAGAATTAAAACTGTGTTCGATGCATTCTTGCACTTAAGATGTCAATGTCTGACAGTGAAAAAAGTAACCAAGGTCATTTATTTTCACAGAGTGATCCCAAACAAATCTGAGTAGATAAATATCACTAGTAGAAAGCTAGAAACCAGCAAATAACATTTAACTCACTGCTGTAATACTACAGAAGTGATGGTTTCATCTTGTTCCATCCTGACATGCTTGGGGTTTGTTGTTTATTCCTCATTGGTTGTAGTAGATGACTATTTAACTGCAGTAGGAGAAAAACCTGTAATTTGGCTTGAGTTTCTAGAAAATGGTTGTCTACACTTGCTGATTATAAACTCATACCGTGCAGTAGCTTTGCATTTTTTTCTCCACTTGCCTAATTACATGGTGGTTATATTTTTCAGGAAGTGATGGGCACTAATCTTTGGCTTAAGTTTCTGAAAAATGGTTCTCCACATAACCTGGTGGATGTGCTCTATTGTTGGCAAGCCATTGCTTTTGATTTTTGAATTCCTAGAAATGATTGTGTACACAAACCTTAGTATGTTAAACATAAAATACTAGTATTGTATGTTACATGTATTGACCTTCATGTGATGTATGTGTTTCTGTACCATTATTGGATGGACATTAAGCTTGAAAGTGGGTTTGATATGTGCTAAATGTTTTCTAATTGTATTTATCTTTTTTGGGTGTATTTATAGTGTCCTGTTAAACAATCTGTCGCTATAAAATACATGGACTATTGGATGATCTGTCGGTATATGCTTGATAACAGAGCATCTGTCGCTAAAAACTAGCAATGGACTATCTGGCCCTATAAATATTCAGGGCAGCAGATTGTCTGTCGCTAAAAGTACTGTCTGACGCTAAAGATTTTTAGCGACAAGACTTACAGCGTCTGCAGAAGTCTGTCGCTATAACTTTTTAGCATCAAATTGTCTGTCGCTGTAGCCGCTTTTAGCGTCAGACCATCCATCGCTAATCTTAGTGTTGTGGTCTAGTGTTTATAACGTACTTTTTAGTTTTTAGTTTATTTTTTCGGATGCTAGCTTTCATCTTTTTGAAAGCTAGCTCAACAGTTAGGCTATTTGTTTTAGCTTCTGATTTCTAACTAGCATAAGTCAGCAAACAACTCTTAGAGATGTAGATGGTGCTGGATTTGCATGACGCGTCGACCAGGGGCCATAGTCATAGGCCAAGAAGTAGGAGTGTATTGTTGATGGGCCATACACCTGGAAAACTGTAGTCTGGCTATTCTGATTGGTTGGACGACTTTGGGGATTTCTTTCTGTCTATCAACCAACGGGGAGCTGATTTGGGGGCAAGCATTGACTTTTCATGATTTGTTGGTTTCAATTTGCCTATTAATTATAGCAACCATTAACAAATACTGTACAACTATATTTTTAAAGAATTTGTACATCAGCAACGGGATTTTGACATTCCTCTCTTAATTAATCTAAAGCGTAGCTTTTGCATTTCTTCACAGTTATTAGAGTTCTATAGCAAATTAAATATATGTTTAGTCCACATAGCGAAGACTACTTTGCTATAAGGAAAAGAAATGTAAGTAAAGCATTGTGGAACTTGGCATCTCTTTTTGTAATTTCGGCACGGCTAAGAACGCAATGATATTGAGCACTTTGGTGCGTCCTCCATGTTTCACCATTGTTATGTCATACGAGAACTTTGTCTAACACGTGTGTAATTAGGAGTTTAGGACCACTAGTACCTAGAGTAAGTTGCGTAATCGTCGTGATCCTGGCTGAGTTTGCTCTGGGCTACCCAGACACGTAGTGTATGACATTCTTCTCCTACCTTGATTACAAAGATATACAAAACTCTTGCTTATTCGAGAAAAGCATACGAGAGCCTGGAGTTCCTTATTTCTTTCTTTTTTTGGAAAGAAATAGCAGGAGATCTGCCGATCATGTATTGTTAAAGAAGAGTTACAATCTTAGCAACAAAGAAAGAAGAAAAAATAGCCAGATGTGAGGCAGAGCGCCTAGCACGCACAAACACAGCTCAAAGATGCAAAGACAGAATTACATAGTTGTGACAATCTCTCAGGCGCTTAGCTCATGCAGCACACCAAAGCCTTGCCTCGTCCTTGATCTTGGAAAGGAGGGAGGGTTGGCAAAAGAAGAATAGGGAGATTCAATAGAGGGGATCATGGCGGCCTTGTTAACCCAGCATTTGGTGGGACAATATAGCAAAGGATCATGGATGATGGATTGATGGTGGAGTAAGGACACCGACAACGATACTTGTCTCTTAGTAACTTGTGCAAATATTTTGGGGATTTGATCACCAAAGGTAGGCTTGCACTATATGCAACTATGAACACCCACAACGTACATAGGCTGTCTCTAGTTGTGATGCCTCTAGGAAGGGAATGGCATGAAAAATGCTACCATTGCACATCCGAAGACATTAGGTTTTCACCCTAAGACCGCATATGTAGCAAGGTGGCAAGTGATTCTTCAATGACGCCTCCAAGGAGGAATATGACGCATCAGGACACTATCGTCGCTAGCACTGTCTATGAGCCGAGTAAGACTTACACCAAGAAGCCAACCTAACGGCCAAGCACCCATGGCAAACAACACATGGTTGTGGACGGCAGTGCCTGCCTCACACACCAGCTGCATGAACACTTGTGGTCTGCGTGACACCCACTATGGCTGCCAGAGGCAAAGCTTTCAACAAAGGGAGAACTATATCCAGGCATGGAAGCTCTAGATCTACGACACCACGGCCGCAACACCAACCGCTGCATGACCGATAGGACCCGTACAAGGCTATCATGGCGTTGGGGAAGGTGACCTCTTGGTGGTTGCCAGCATTGCTGACCATGGTGTGGTGCTCCTGCACTTACACACTCCAACAGTTGGGGTGACATATGGAGTCATCATCGAGTAGAATGGCCACATAGGCGAAGCCGACTGTCTAGGGTGTTAGAGTGCATAGTTAGATCCATACCTAAATAGATCTACTAATAGAAGAACATGAAAGCATAACACCATAGAAGAAAATAGGCAAGCAGAATGACAATGAGGCTGGATGTTTCCCCTGATACAACTCAAGTCCAACTGTAACAAGTATGCACATATTTGACACATATATAACATAGGGCCTATCGACGAGCCCGGCATAGATCCCGAACATCAGTGTGGCCAAAAGGGACATACCCACACCCGACCATCACCTTATCCGTGAGCATGACCTTTGGTGGTTTTCAACATCGTCGCTCGTCGCGGTACTATCCTCCTCTACTTGGACATGCTGTAACAACCCAAAAATCCACACACCAAAAATCACAACTACAAAATTTTTCTTCAAAATCCTATGTGATGACGAGTGACATCTGTAGGAGCCAACCCTAGGTGTTGCATTAGTTGTAATCCAACTAGACAATTTCATGAGCATAGCATGTCATTTGTTAATTATGTTTATTTAAAATCCTAACAAATAAAATGTTGCATACATTGTTAACTTAAATTGTGATTTGGATTTTCATTTGCTTTACGTAATGCTTAACAACTCCTTTAAAGTAATAAACCATAAAATAAATATTAATCAAACCAAGAATAAATGCTTAAAGTGAAAACTATTTCTATTTTTGTATAACAAAACTACAACTATTTTTGTTACGCAAAATAGCTAAATAAAGCCCCTAATATATATAAGAGTGTTGTGGGCCTCACATCTAAAAATCCAATGGATGAGATACACCAGATTTGAATTCAAACTCCAAATCAAATTTTAATTCAAATGAAGAAGAAAAACAAATCAGAAAAAGAAAAGAAGGAAGCCTCGTAGCCGGCTCGGCCTGCTTGGCCCGCTAACCAGCCCAGCCTGCGCTTGCCTTCCTCCCCCGCACGCGCTGCAGCACCAGGCCCAGCAAGCCGGCCCAACGCGCCGCTCACGCCCGCGCGCCCTTTTACCTCGCATGCTGCCGCTGCCAGCCGGACCCCACGCATCAGCCACCCCAGCAACAGAGCCTTCTTCCTCCCCACGCCAGTCTCTCCTCCCGACTGAGCCCTGACCAGCGTGGCAGGCACGGGCTAGGGGGGTCACGCAAGAAGCATGACCCTGTTCCCCCTTGCGCCGCGCCTATGCTACCGCACGTGGGCCGTCGGATGCGCCGCACGCATCACCACCGCCTGATCGCCATCCACCATTGGAGCCCTTGGAGCTCAACTATAAAAGCCAACGCCCGCGAGCCCTAACCCTCAGCCCGTTCGCCGTCGCCGCTGGTGGCACAGCACCACACCGCGTCAAACCGAGAGAGAGGGTGGAGGAAGAAGCAAGGAGGAGAAGGAAGCCGCTGTGGAACCGGACCTCGCCGGAGCCAGGAGCGCCGCCCCGATCAGCTACAGCGACGTAGCTGCTCGGCACGGCACTGCATCG